TGAAATCCAATTTTTTTCCAAATTTAGAACTTCAAGCTTGAATAAACCTTCCAAATTCATCCTGGTAATATTTGAAATGTAGTTTGACTTGAGATTTAGCAATGCTGCATTTTTGGGAATGTCATCTGGAATAGCAGTGAGGTAACGCTCTGTGCAAGTGACTAACACATGAGATTTTTCTGTATAGATAATTGTGCAGTTTTTCAGTGAAAAAGCAAGTAAATGTTCACAATGAAAGAAACACAAAAGAAGTGAGAAAAGCAGCAGAGGCCAAACTCCTGTAGCTAGCATGTTGATCTTGGGAAGCAGTACTGTTTCCACTTAGAGATGGGATATTCTGTTGTTCAATACACCTGAGTCGGGCAGGATAAAAAATAAAATTGAAGGTATTAGTCTGATTACATTACCATGTCATCATTTTAGCACAGAATAAAACAACGTGAGATTTGCTGCAACTAGTGATGAAAAATTTGTGATTTTGATTTGTTGTTCCAGTAAACCTCTGAGACACACCTCTAATCGGTATGTCTCAGAGGTTTACTGGAACAACAAATCAGAATAGTGAACTGCTGGAATCCTGCTATACATTTAACTTCAGTGAAAGCTTCATCTAATCCAGAAGGTTACATGAAGAGGATACAAATTGAAACCCACCTAGACTAACATCACAACAACTAGTAGCTCAGTGATACGCAAGTAACTGCTATCACAGCTAGAGAAGGATGAAGTAGAACACAAATGCTATGGCAAGGTGGAGCCAGGATTTAAAATCAGGAGTGAGATATAATTATCTCCACCCTTCAAGATCAGGTGGCAAGCCCCATAAACAACTGGTATGTTGACCTGAAAGAGAAGATTATGGCTAAGTTGGCTAAACCTGGACCCTCTGTGCTTATTACCAAGATTACGTGAATTACCCTGTAAATGTCTACTAGCAGATGTGAATGCAGCATTACCGTTAGTGAAACCAACTAGCTGGTCTATGCCACAGCTACAGTGATCCCTGCTATGCTTGACTAATAACAGCCACAAAGAACAGCAAGACTAGAGGCCAACATCAAGGCAGCACAGAGGGAAGTTAGACAGATTTCAGAATTGCAGAAAGGTCAATCCATCCATCCTTCCACCCAGTCTCCTCTGGTTGTCTTTATCATCATCACAGGGGGTGCTGGATCTTGTCCTAGCTATCATAGGGTAAAACGCGGTGTATACCCTAAACAGGTTGTCATGGCCTTTTATGTTCCAAACACCAAAAAAGTCCAAGAAAAGGCCATGGGTGGCAACGGAAGGTTTGTTTTAGAACGTACTTCTGACTTCATTGTTTAAAATTATATGGCGTTTATTTTGTGGAAAATTATAAACATAAATCAACCAAATAACTTCTTACAACTTAAAATTAAATGAAAGTTAACTTAATTTGCTTTCACAACTTCAAAAAGTGGTCAAAAAGTTTTTCAAACCCTCCCGTCGCATCGGACACTTGGCAAACAAAAAACCTCTTTACCACACCCCTCCAGGGTGCTCTTAATCCCTTGATTAATGCGA